CCCCACACACACACACACACACAGTTGGAAGCACTTTTAGTTTGAGCCCACATTCCTGCAGAAACAATTGAATGTCCTTTTTGTTCCCAACAGTAAAGCATTCTCGAGCCATTAAGGACACATTCTCTCAGGCGGATTTTGAGTTGTGCTGCATGAGAAGCGCGTGAATCAGATCCCGACGTCCGCAGAAAACGATCAAATTCCCGTCAACCGCCGATGGGCACTTTCCACTGTTGTCAGGAGGATTTTAAAAAAAGCTATTTATTCTAAATGTATTGAATTACACTGTTGTCTTAAAAGTTGTGTGAGTGTTGTGGTGTCAGCATGAAGCAGTCTTGTGCCAGAGTGATCACTGTGTTGGTAAGATTTAAGTCCAGTCATGTGAAGATGCTGAGACAGTTGTTTTATTTTTTAAAGCTTATTGTTAAAATATTTTCATTTCAGATTATAGAGTTTAGTTTTTTTTAGTGCAATTCTGATTGAGTATGTACTAAATATAAACAAACCAAGGGAACTTGAGTTTATGACTGACCAACTCTCTAGATTTAATCTTATACAGTAGTTTCCAGAAAAATGAAGGAAATACAGCTAGATTAAGATTATTTTGATTAAGATGGTTTAATAAACTTATCTGCACATATTTACTCAACAGATCTGTGCATAAACGCCTACCAATTTGTCAGAATTGTCTGAAGTCTTCCATTGAGGTCACTTCGGCGGTTTTTTTAGGTAAAGAAGGACGTGGTAGTTGGCAGCCACTCACATTAACCATGCATATGAGGAAGCAAAGTGTGGATTTTGTTTCTTTATGAARTTTGTTTGAGTGGTCTTCATGATATTGCAGTGATTACCTTTAAGACKACAAAGAAGAACTTGTCCAGAGGACCTACTCGACTTTTTTTTAGATATGCCTTTAAYACAGTTGCCTAATTTTCATTTAACCCTGTGCTTTAAGCAGTTTGACTCTGAACCTTTTTTCTCCTGGAACATAATGTGTTTCAGCCATCAGTTGTTTGAAGTTTAGACAAAATGACTGAGGCACACAGAGGTGATTACACGATTGCCTGTCATGGCAGTAGGCATCGGTGCGAGATATCTATGTATATATATCTATATATATATAGATATTTATATATGCGAATACCTCCTTTRTGGAGTTTTGATAATGTTACATACGCAACGAATCGTATAACACTGGATTAAGTTCCCTTTTAAATGGAGCCACATTTGTAAGGAACAAGCATTTGTGGGATGAGCAGTAGAGCTGAGTATGTGMGTTGCACACATTAAAGATTTGCCAAATCTTCTCTGCCAAACAGTTTATTTTGTTATTATTGACACTTGTTTTGAGCTTCTGGTGCCTCCAGGTGCTGCCAATCAGCTGCCCGCTATAAGATTTATTACCAAGAAGCATTGTTACAGTAAAAATATAATCTACCAAACACAAATTACCTTACTTTTTGTGCTAAGTTTATTTTATAATCATCACAGCGACACAAACTTCTGCATTTTGTTGTACTTAAAGTAGCAGGGAGAGGACCAGGTCCTCCAGTCTGGAAAAGACAAAGACGTTTTGCAGCAAATTAAGTTTTGTTTAAATTAATTATGCACCAACGGATCAAACTTAAGGTCRGTGATTCAGATTCCACCTTTTTTTAAGTTTGATATCAGATGTTATAGAACCGACCTGTTGAACTGTACAACCAGAGGCAGCTGCCTCGTTTTTTTTTAACCCAAGTTTTTATTGGATTGTTGTTGAGAGTGTTGTGGAGTCTCAAACAGTAAATATTTAGTTTTTCCCCCACCACCCCCCTGAAGGTTCGGGGTAGTTTCAAAATGACTACCTCCCTACCTGGGCTGTTTTTTGAGGTAAATTTCCACCTGAGTAAAGTTTTGGCCTTGGTTCCTRTGCTAGAAACACAGCCTAAGTTCATCTTTTATGGAATTAGAAAGAAAGAAACTTTTATTCTCAGCACACTCAGAGTTGACTGAACATGCAGAGAATCTTAAAGAWTAAAGTTCTCGCCTCTCGTTTAGTGAAACAACAAAGAAACTTCTTTTAAATTGTCCTTTTGTGCTTCGTTTCTGTAGGATGTTGTCAGCCGATGGGAGTTTTATTGTGAAAGGTCAAACCGATTGAGTTCATGGCTGCAGTCCTTCACGTCACAAACCGAGCTTTTAACCACCCTGTGAATATTGTTACAGCATGTGATGTCTTTTATTTGAAGTGTTAAGTTTGCTTTTATTCTACTTTTAGCTGTTGTCATTGCTAATGCAATTTAAAAGAAGCTGAATGTAATCTGAAAAAGCCATGCTGCTGTGTGCTTCACATGTCACTCAGTGTCCTTATGTTGCCATATTCTGTTTGTTTTGTATCTCATATTTGGGGCTGTGCGGGATGGCATCAGTGCCAGTAATCTGAATAAAGCACGATGTGAATGTCCTTCCTGTCGTCTTGTTGGAAGTTCATTTAGGCAAACTTCTGGGAAAACAAAAAACAGCAGCTCCTTTTCGTCTGGTGTGACTCGCCTCAGTGCTGACGGATGTGTGAACGTCTGAGGTGTCATGAATAATAAATGCTCATCTGTGAACACATCTAYTTGCCCTGCTGGAGCAGCGGGGAGGAATGTTTGCTGGGAAAACAAGTGTGCAGCAATATGACGGSGCTTCAGAACGTCCTGCAGAGAGCAGAGTGTGTGATGTAAACAAGTGGGCATCGAGACTCGGGTCAAAAACTGAGCATGATGGTCCAGCTGCAGGAAATYCTTCTTTATACATCCTTGTTGATTTAGATCCACACAGAGAATTGATGCTTTTCATCATGGCTGCTCTGCAGGGAGACGATCACTTTGCAATAAGATTGGGAGCATCAGTCTTTGTTACAGAAACTGTTTAGTGGAAGAAACATTTGATGGAAGTTGTTGAACAGGATTGTTGTTTTTTTACATTTAAGCAAAAATATTTCCACATTTATTTCAGTGCTGAAACTGAAGTTTCAACCATCTAGTTGTTGATTTAAAGTAGAGCCACTGTCCTGCATGTCTTACTTGTTTTTCTGTTCCAACACACCTGATTCGGTGACTGAATCACTTCTTCATGTTCCACAGAAACATGCTAATCACACATTCATTCATATCAGGTTGGAGCAGAGAAACCTCTAAAGCATGCATGATAATGGCCCTCCAGGACGGGACACCCCTGATTTAAGGAAGACGTCCTTCATTATTCATCCACTTAATGCAACACATGATGATATCACCAGCTGGTGTTCTGAGGTTTGAACCTCACAGCTTTTGTCTCGTCTGACCAGAAAACCTTTCTCCACAAGGCATCGATCTGTYTGGACAGGTGAAGTAAGCCTAGTTTCACTGTGGACAGGGACACTGGAGTTTACTGTAGACAAGAGCATCCTAAACTATTTAATTTCCTTCATGGAGTCCTTTGGATTTTCTTTTTTGCTCTGGCTATTCTGAGTGCTGTCAAACTTTGGTGACGGGGAACAAAAACGTTGCTGATCAGCGACAGTTTGCATCAAGTTCTATCTTGTTTTTCTTTGTTTTGCCAGCTGCAGTCAATCATGATCTCCAATGAGATCTTCAGCACCACTTATTTAAAAACTTAAGTGAATGTAAAACTATATTACTGCTTAGATTTCTATTTTTAATACTATGTGGATTAGAAAGAGATCCACAATAAATTCAAACTTCTGCACATTACTTTTAAAAATCACTGAAGTTATGTACTCATTCCAACCTGCATGAATGGTTAGAAAATAAAATACCATTAAAAGTCCAAAATGAATGACATTTCTGCCCATAGTGAGTCAAAGTAAAGAGAATAAAACAAAGTCAACAAGAGGGACTGAAAAATGTATAAAAAACAGAAAAACATGTTTAAAAAAGATTAGCAGTTAAAGAATTGCACAATTATTCAGCAAGGCATTTTTTCACATGGAACTACTTCAGTTTATTGGCTCTAAATTCCAATGTTATGTAATAAATATGTTTATAATAAATATATACACTCACCGGCCACTTTATTAGGTACACCACGCTAGTAACGGGTTGGACCCCCTTTTGCCTTCAGAACTGCC